CTGTCTTTATAGAAAAAGAAATAAATAAAATTTACAATGTGCTATAAATCAAAAGTCTTTTTTTAGATAAATCTTGTTTAGTAATACCTTTTAAAAATTGCTATTGCAGGGTGAAGTGAGGGACATTTTAGCTCTTAGAAAATGTAAATATTACAGTAACTATTTATTTCAAGCACCTTTTAAAAGATATGAGAATGTTCTGTAACGGGGAGTATTTGGCCAGCATGTTACATGCGAAAATTCTGTTAAAAATGCTAAACCGTAATATCCAGAGCTGGACCAGTATTTTCTCATAGTTTATTAAGTACTCTTTCAATTAAGAAGATAAAATCTTGGAAATGTAACATTTTCTTTAGGGACAGTTACTACCCTGAAATGGCACTGAATAGTAGGAATGACCTAGAACTGACCAATTGTTTTGCTTCATAAGACCTCAATATAGCATTCAAAGCCACACGGGTTATTTTGCTTTATATGTTTTAGTTTTCAACTCTCAAAGTGCCAGTAGATTTTGAATTGCATTTTATGAATCACCAAGGACCACAATTTGAGCTAAAAATCTTGTTTAATGTCCTACTAATGAATAAAGAAAACTACATCTCAGACTGTCAAAGGTTAAGGAAATTACCAACTTATTTTCATTTTTGGGTTCACTGTCACTTTAAGAATCCGGAGATGTGTTTCCACTTAAAAGTTTCTCTCTTTTTTCTAATGTCCACATGGTGGTTTCCCACAGGTCCCACAGGAATCCCACGGGAAGCAGAACGGCAGTCCATCACTTCTTTTATGTTATTTGAGCTACATTTGTCTGTTTTTGTCTATAGAGGTGTGTATGTTCTTGCTTTGAAAGGTTCAGATGATGGGGTGGAGGAGAATTGTTCGAAGATAAGGAGTGGGGAATTTTTGGTAAAGAGATATTTTCACCTGGCCATAAATATTTAAAATGGACAGAACACTTTTCAGCAGCTTTGTGACATTTCTTAAAGATTTTACTTCATAACAATTGCTAACTTATTTATTTTTAAATATTTTTTTCTTAAGAAAACATTTTATGCAAACAACAACAAAAACATGTTTTCAGTTGACATTCAGTAAAGCTCGATACACTTGTTGGTACAAACCAGATAATTAAATGCCACCCAGAATTCTGGGCCTGAAAGAATCAAGAGGCCAGAAGCACAAACACTGATATCAAAGCCATATGCTTCTTCAGAGAGGGAATATGTGCTGAGTCACTAGAGACAATGAGAAAATGAATAAGGCATAGAGGACTAAACCTGCTAGGAAATAAATAATACCACAAAATGATCTTTCCCTTTCATTTTCCCCATAGATAACATAATGTGCAGTGTATAATTTTCCAGGACTACAGCTGTGATAAACAAACAGATCCACATAACTGCAAAGAGAAATAAAAGGATAAATAATAAATATGTATTTAATAATTTCTGAATTTATTTATTTATTATATTATATTATATTATATTATATTATATTATATTATATTATATTATATTATATTATATTATATTATATTATATTATATTATATAGATACTAAACCCTCATCCTCCACACTTACTACTGATGACTTTGCTACTTTTTTTTGCACCAACACTTCAAAATTCAGTGCTCAATTTGCTGCACCTACAACAAACAGGCAATACACACCACCATCACCACACACACTCACCTTTTTTCTCAGCTCTCTGAGTCTGAGGTGACCAAACTCGTGCTATCTAGCCATGCAACCACCTGTCCGCTTGATCCAATTCCCACTCATCTATTGCAAACCATTTCTCCTGCAGTCATACCAACACTGACTCACATAATTAACACATCTCTTGACTCTGGTTTATTCCCCACTTCATTTAAGAAGGCTAGGGTAACCCCACTGCTAAAGAAACCCAAACTGGATCAAACGCTACTTGAAAACTACAGACCAGTATCCCTGCTTCCATTCATGGCCAAGATTCTGGAGAAAGTAGTGTTCAATCAAGTTCTGGGCTTTCTTACTCAAAACAACCTCATGGACAACAAGCAATCCGGCTTTAAGAAAGGCCACTCAACTGAGACTGCCCTGCTCTCTGTCGTGGAGGATCTCAAACTGGCTAAAGCAGACTCTAAATCATCAGTCCTCATCTTGCTGGATTTGTCAGCTGCTTTTGACACTGTAAACCACTAGATCCTGCTATCTACGCTTGAGTCACTGGGCGTTGCAGGCACGGCTATTCTATGGTTCACATCTTACCTCTCTAACAGGTAATTCAGGGTGTCTTGGAGGGGAGAGGATGTCCAACCTACAGCATCTAAAACACTGGCTCTTTTCTTGGGCCACTTCTCTTCTCCGTCTATACAACATCTTTAGGACCAGTCATCCAGAAACATGGATTTTCCTACCACTGCTATGCTGATGATACCCAGCTATACCTCTCTTTTCATCCTGATGATCCCTCGGTTCCAGCTCGCATCTCAGCCTGCCTGTCAGACATTTCACACTGGATGAAAGATCATCTTCTTCAGCTTAACCTCATGAAAACAGAAATGCTTGAAGTTTCTGTCTAATGACCAACTAAACTTCTCTGACCACATCTCTAGAACTGCTCAATCTTGCAGATTCGCACTCTATAACATCAGAAAGGTCTGACCCTTCCTATCTGAACATGCAGCTCAACTCCTAGTTCAAGCTCTTGTTCTCTCCAGACTGGACTCTCTACTTGCCGGGCTTCCAGCTAACTCTATCAAACCTCTTCAGATGCTTCAGAACGAAGCAGCACGAGGGGTCTTTAATGAACCTAAATGAGCACATGTCACTCATCCGTTTGCACTGGCTGCCAGTTGCTGCTCGCATCAAATTCAAAGCTCTGATGTTTGCTTACAAAGTGATTTCTGGCTTTGCTCCTTCTTATCTGCTCTCACTTCTGCGGATTTATAGGCCCTCCAGAAACTTGCGTTCTGTGAATGAATGTCGCCTCGTGGTTCCATCCCAAACAGGCAAGAAATCACTTTCCCGAACTCTCGCGCTCAATCTGCCCAGTTGGTGGAATGAACTTCCTAACTGCATCAGAACGGCAGAGTCACTCACTGTCTTCAAAAAACGACTAAAAACTCAACTATTTAGTCTCCACTTTCCTTAATAATCTGCAATTCCCTCTCTGGCTCCTACACTAACTACCACAAAATAAATAAATAAATAAATACTAATGTTTTGCTTCTTACACTTTCTTTACATACCTGAAACTTGCCTACAGCACTTATTCATTGTTGCTCTTATAGTTGTGTAAATTGCTTCCTTGTCCTCATTTGTAAGTCGCTTTGGATAAAAGCGTCTGCTAAATGTAAATTATATTATATTATATTATATTATATTATATTATATTATTACCTTTTTGTAATTACCTAGCTGTTTTAGCCATTTATTTTGATGATTTTCCAGCATCATAAGTCTTCAGTGACACGGTTCCTCTGAAATTTTATAAGATGAATTCTGTAAATACTATACTGTTTTTGAACCACACAATAGGAAATACTTAAATTACTCTGCTGTACACACAACTACTATACTAATATAAAAAATCATACCATACTGTAGTTTATATGTTATAGAATTATTATCCCTCCTGAATTATTAGCCCCTCTTTATATTTCTTGCCCCCAATGTCTGTTTTACGGAGAGAAGATTTATTCAACACATTTCTAAAAATAATAGTATTAATAACTCATCTCTAATAACTGATTTATTTGATCTTTGCCATGATGACATTAAATAATATTTGACTAGATATTTTTCAAGATACTTTTGCACAGCTTAAAGTGACATTTAAAGGTTTAACTAGGTTAATTAGGTTAACTGGGCAGGTTAGAGTAATTAGGCACGTTATTGTATAATGATGGTTTGTTCTGTACACTATCAAAAATAAATATAAGGGCTGATAATATTGACCTTAAAATTAAAAACTGTTTAGCCGAAATAACACAAGTAAGACAAAGTAAGTAATCAAAAATATTATGACATACTATGAAAGTTTACTTGCTCTGTTAAACATCATTTGGAAAATATTTTAAAAAGAAAAAAAAAATACAGGAGGGTGAATAATTTTGATTTCAATATTTATATTTACACACTAATACACTACAGTTTACTGTAGTAACATATTAAGTATACTACAGTTCTACAGCCTTTTTTTGTTGCAGTTTTCAGCTCATGGTTGTTAATACTGTAGTATGCTTTAGCATCCAATATGAGGTAAAAAAAAAAACATACAGTATAAAGCATTTTAATAAAACTATGGCTCAAAAACACTATAGTATTTACTATAAACTACTATAGTATTTTTGTCAAGTGGGTCTCCTAATAAATTACATTTTAATCAAATAAATACAGCTTCTGTGAGCAGAAGATACTAAAACATTGAAAATCTTGATATTTACAAATGTTTTATTTAATTTTTTTTTTAGTTTCCAAAATCCTTTATTCATGCACAAGATTATCTAATCATCCTGAATGACTAACTGGCAGCAGTTGCTTCCCATGTGGAACTGAATGAGTTGTTAAAATGCTTGCTGCTTTCTAAGCTTCTTTTCACCTACTGTAGAAGTCTCTCTGTGACAGACAGAGGGCGCTTTTGCTTCCACTTACTCAAATGTATGACACAGATATATTTATCTCAAACATAGACGTCAAAGGGACACTAAAAAATAAGTAGAGGCGTATGAACTCTGATAACAGTCATATCACCACATATCTATCACTGATGACTAGCACACACATAAAACAATTCATTTTGTCGAAGAACACTTCAAAAATAATTCCAAAAAATCAAATAGATATTTGCCGTTTGTATACATAATCTGAAGATTATATGCTTACTTTCTGCGATTAATACAACGCACCAACTAAAAGTATTCAGTTGCGTCTATTTCTGGCCTCCCCTAGTTTCCCGCCTGACTGACGTCAGCATAAAGTTATTTTCATGAATGGAGGGGGCGGTCACGAGGAATTGGTGACGTCAGTGCTTGCGGAAGCACGGAGTGGAATGTTGATACATTGTTGTTGTTTTGTAGTTAATTTAGTTCAGGGAAACATTTCGCTTCGGTTGCAGGACGCGGGACGAGGCTCGACCTGTTGACTCCAGGACACTTTCTCAGAGTTTCTGCGCATCCCCGACACAGATTCCGCGTTCACAAGGTAAAGTGTGCGAGCTTTTCTGCGAGATGTTTTGAAATTCCTTTCGAAATTGCTGATGTTCTCATGATGACGGACAAGAATTCAGCCTATCCGTAATATTCGCGTACATTTGGTCGATGCGTAGCATGTAACCTTCTCTAAAATAATAAAGTTGAATGAGAAATGTCTTGTGTTATAAAGTTTAAACATGAAACATTATGTAATGATGACATATTATATTATAAAATCAAAATATACCAGTCTGCTTTGGACACGTGTTAACGGTTACAACTTGGAATTTAGCTTACAAACACTATTTTTTCATGTAAACGAACACTTTAAGCCACAAACCTCACTGATATGTTGCGTACTATTCAATGTTGTGTATTTTGGAAGTTTGTTCTACTTATTTACATTTTAAAACAAGGTGTATTCGAAGCAGTGCATGGTAAACCAAGTAAACAAGGCAGTCTCGTAACATTTAAATCAATATGGCAATACTCTTCCAACTTTTTTTCTAGCTTTAACAGCGGTATGTTTCAAAAGAATTACTATTACGACATAAGGAAATAACACGTGGTGGGCATTTGGAATTCTGGGACAAAGGGCATATTTGTGTGGCGAGTAGTATTGGAAAGAGACCGAACGACTGCTATGAAGATCTCAAGTCATTCGAGCCGCGAGGAAAGATTCCGTTTTCCCGTGCTCTTTAATCAACACGAGGGTTCAAGAATAGGGTGACGTTATGTCAGATGCCCGTGCACGCGGCGTGAACGCGCACTGGTGATACAAATTACTTTTTAAGCGCTGATTTAAGAATGCGTCGCATCTTCACCATTTGGCTTACTTTCCATTTATGATTGTGCAAGTTGTTTAGTATCATAAACGCGCTTGGGCACTCTCTGTGTTGCAATAAGAAGACAGTGGTCGAAAATTATCAATGAAGGTCATCTGAAATGGAATATGAAAGTGTTTGTGGATGTGTAGGTGATTGGAAATCTGAGCACATTGTTTTAGAGTGATTGTGTCCACTCTATGCTGGCAGGTTAGCACCAGAGCGACGCCCTCACAGGAAAAATGAGTCATAACTGGATAATGTGATTCATTTCCACACTGGATGATAAAATAGTTGCCCTGAACCAATTTAACGTGATTAAACCGTATTAAAGGGGAATCCATTCATTGTGATTAGAGGAATGCATGTCTTTTGCTGAAACAAGTAGTTGTTCAATTGTGTTTTGTATGCAGCTTGACCATGTAAGGACAATCGGTGTGGTTAATTAACTGTAAGAAAGAATTTAAGATTTAAGAGAGGAAAAAATGTAAAATAATGCGAGAGGAGCAGTTAAGCAAGAAATAATAGAGAAACTGAATAATCAACAATGCTTATTTTTTTATAAATTACAATGGATCAGAATTGGATGAAATGTATGTGTGTGAATGAGTGTGTATGGATGTTCCCCAGTACTGGGTTGTGGCTGGAAGGGCATTCGCCACATAAAACGTGCTAGATAAGTTGGTGGTTCATTCCGCTGTGTTGACTGCTGATAAATAAAGGGACTAAGCTGAAGGAAAACTAATGAATATAGAAGATATAACAAGTTATTCATTCAAGATCGGCGAGTGAATCCTTCTTTTTGTGTTTTGAGTAACATTGATGACAAACAGCAGGAGGTTTGTTAGACTAGATGCACGGATCTAAAGTAACATTACACATCAGATTTAGTAAGAATGCCTTTATCTGCAAAAAACTGTATTATAAAATATTTGACAGACATATTTAAATTAATTCGAATTTGAATATTATGTTTGCTGTGTTTACAAAAAATTCTGAAAGTCTGTGAATTTAACCAAGTCATACATATTCTCTCTCTCTCTCTCATGATTAAATCTGGATTAGTTGTTCTACTCAGTAACAGCAATGTAAAAAGCAAAGTAAATAGTGTCAGCTTTGATTGTGTGATAACTTTCAAAAGAGGGCGTGCTGTGTAAAATCAATCATTAGCCACAGTAGTTTATTGAAGGAAATAAAAACTATTGTATACTACATCAGAGGCTTTTTACAAAAGGATTACAACAAACTTCTAAAATATTCAGAATAATAAGTAACTAATATATTAAAATAAGCAAGTATATTTCTAATATGTAATTATGAAATAATAATAATATAAACAAATGTAAACTAAAATACACAAGATTGTTTCATTAGTTAATTTTAGCTTGAAATGCTCAAACTAGTATGTCTTATATTATATTAAAGTTCTTATATGTATAAAAAAATATAAAGTTCTTATATTAAAGTTCTTATATAATATTAAAATTTTGATTAAAACAAGGTTGGGAATCACTGTATTAAGCTCATTTATTTGGACTGGAAATGTGTTCCCACTGTTCTGCTGTAGATAGGGTTTCAATTTACATTGCATTAACACTGTTTATGCAATTCATCCTTAACCCTAACACTGTTCCTTTGCATTAACTTTGTGTAGCATCTTGTACAGCCACAAAATTAGAATTAGACAATAACAAATTAAAGTCAATTTGTAGAGCTTTGTTTTAACTTTACATCGATAAAAGTGATTTAAATTGTCTCAGATTTTAAAATAGTGATTTTTACAGTACGTAATGTGGAAAAGGATGCCTAATCGTCCATACATATTATATTATGTAGTGGGTCACTGTTGAATACTTGTTATTTGCTGTATAATGACTATGGTTTGCTCATAAAATTACATATACTTATAGCAGTTGTACTTCTAAGCTTATAATGTGTTAAATGTGAGTTATGCGTGTTGAAAGAGCGGAATCTGAACCTGTGCATCACTTTTTTTCCCCCCACATGTATTCAGAGAGCTTCTAAACATTGCCCGCCACAGCGACTAGCAGATGAACAAAAATATCCACCATGTGTAAAACAAGCAAGTGTGTTAGCCTGGTGTTCATTTCACACTTTGGAGAATATAAAAAGGCCATCATCTAACCACTTGCGTGTGGCGCTGTGGTTTAGTTTGATAATTTGGCTTTGTTTTTTCCAGAGTCAGCAGGAGATCATTTGTGTAGGCTGCTAGATCAGCAGTGGTCATTGCCCAGGAAGAGTCCTAAGAGCCGAGCTAAGGGGAAACTGCTCTGAGTTCCTGTCATTACACACTCAAACAGTTGCTGGGCTCAGCTTACATTTGTGTTTTCATATCTTCCATCGATATAAGAAGCGTATTTATAGTTTTCTCTTGAAGTCGCACCCTTGTACAAACGGCCACCTATAAGGTGAGACAACATGTTCCTCTCTGACCACTTTAACATTGTTTGAAGCAATATTATATGACATTGATTTTAAAGTTGTGTTCACACTTGCATGGTCTGGGCTGATTAAAATAAAGTGTGGAATGATTGCTCTTTTGGTGCTGTTCATTTAAGATGTGAATGTTCATCTGAGGTTTAAGTGCACCAAACAAGAGACCTCTGAAAAATGGGGTTTCCATCAGCCTCCAATTGAGCTAATTTTGGCTGAAATGTGTGAATGCAGCAAGAACCACAGAAATCTAAACACACAAAAGCATGACATGATGTCTTAAGATGTGACCTTTAAAGTAGCAGAATGATCAAGCAATAGCTGGCTTTACAGTTCAGCACAGGCAGCAGATACTTATTTGCTTGCAATAGATATAGTGTGTGATGGAGGAACTCCTGGAGCTGTTTATACTCCTTTACATGTTTATAAGCTCATTAAGGGCATACTCACACTAGGTACAGTTGCCTTGAAGCATGATTGTCCCCCCTCTCCTCTCCCCCGACGGCCTGCACTCACACTGCATTTTGCCTTCCGAACCTGAGCACACTTGCATCATCGATGATGCGACTGCTCAGTTTAGCAGGAAGAGAAGCGCTCTCACTCAGCACAGTAGAGATTGCTTCAGTTATATTGTCAAATATTTTGCAGAACATATTTTGACATAAATAAACATTAAAGTCTTTAAACTGCACATATTAGGATGTTTGCTGAAGGTGCAGCTGACGTGCTGCGAGGGGTTTGCGTCTTTACTGAACTATGACAGTTTGCTTTCATTGAAAAGTGATGATTAATAATAAATCCAAATGAAACCCTCCCTTAAAAGTGATGTCACATCTTCAGTTTTGACTCAGGCATGTTTTGCACTCACACTACAAGTGTACCGCGCTAAAGCCCAACTAAGCTGCGATATGGCACAACTCTTCCAACTGAGTCAGGGCTGGCTATACCTGAACCGTGCCTGGGCCCAATTCTGAGCACTCATACTTTAACAAACAAACTGGCAAACGCGCCTGGGCACTGTTCGAATAGCATAGTATAAGTGCACCCTATGAGTTCTCATCTGATATAGTCATATACATGCATACAGCTAGCGTTCAGACCAGCACACAGCATTGTTTTGGAGTTTTGTCACAAAATATACATCATGATAGCCAGATTTTCATGGCTGATGTAATTGCATATGCATTTGAAAGGTTTTCCATTTCAGGCACAAAATTGACAGTCTAATTTGCACTGCCTATGAACTGTGTAGACATATGAAGAGTTTACTTGCAAAAAAAAGATAACAGTTTTTAGTGATTTTCATACATCTTGTTTTTCTATTTTGTATTGAAGGATACAACTGCAAAAACATAATTTATGGATCTTCAAATTACTAAAGTTTTAGAAATCATGATTTTACATTGAGTACTGAAGAGAAGTAATTCGATAAGTAATTCTGCAGCATCAGTGTTTTGGTCTTTTAATATTACAGCCTTATTATTTGTATAATATTACATTAATAAGTCAGATGATGCAGTGTTGTTTGGTTCACTTCTTTTTGGACCAAATAAAAGTTTAGTCCTGGTTTACTTAGCACCTATGGTGTAATTTTAAGACCTGAAGAAAACAACTACAACAAAAAGACTCATATGACACCCATTCTGTGACTAAACTTGCTGGACTTGCTTGTTGCATTCATTCATTTATTAATTTTTTATGAATAAATGAAATAACAATTTATTAATTCTTT